TGGGGGTGGGGGGAGGAAATATTTTTGAAAACCCATTCAAAAACCCATTTAAAAACCCATTTAAAGTGGGTAAATTGATCAATGAAAAAGTCAGAGCAACTATTCGCAAGGAGTCCTGCTGCAGTTCATAGAAAGACAGCACTTGCAACACAATAAGGTCATATGAGTGCCGATTAGAAGATGAGAACAAAATGGTTCAGCCACCTGTTACGAGTGTCACTAGCCAACCAGCCTCGTGAGCCTATAAGACCAAGGCCACGCAGAAGCTGTAGTATTGAGGAAGTCAAAGAAACCCTGAGAAGTCATAAAGTCATAATAACCCAATTAAAAGAGCTGCGGAGCTGGCCTACCATAGAAAACTGCATCTCCTCTCGGCGCTTAACGGCAACAGAGGATGAAAAGTAAAAGTAAAGTCGGTAAATACTACCAACAGACACGAGATAACGTACCCACCTACCAACAGACACGAGATAACGTACCTACCATGTACCTACCTACCTACCCACCTTCCTACTTACATACCTACCTACCTACCCACCTACCTTCTTTCCTACCTACATACCTACCTACCCACCTACCAACAAACACGAGATAACGTACCCACCTACCAACAAACACGAGATAACGTACCCACCTACCAACAAACACGAGATAACGTACCCACCTACCAACAAACACGAGATAACGTACCTACCATGTACCTACCTACCTACCTACCAACCTACCCACCTTCCTACTTACATACCTACCTACCTACCCACCTACCTTCTTTCCTACCTACATACCTACCTACCTACCTACCAACAAATATGAGAAAACATACCCACATACCAACCAACAAACACGAGATAACGTACCTTATGCAGCTGACCACCCAGCATAGCCAACAATACGTCACTGTAGGTGGCCGCGTGGAACAGGTGCTTGGAGGTCAGTCGGTCAGGGCAGCGCATCTGGACACAACCTGGAGGGACACACATGCAAAACACATGAGTAGTCGCATAAATAAGACTGTGTTCAGGTCATGGAGTCTTCACCATAATCACCACCATCAACAACAACAGCAACAACAACAATACCATCACCGTCACCATTACTACCACCACCACAACAACAACAACAACAACATCAACAAACAATGCCATCACCACCATCACCATCACCATTACTACCACCACCACCACCACAACAACAGCAACAAAATCAACAACAGCAAAAACAACAGCAACAACAACAACAACAATAGCAATCTCCACCACCACCATTACCACCACCACCACCAACAACAACAACAG